TTTTATAAAGCGGTGGTTAGACCGGCCATGATGTATGGGGCTGAGTGTTGGCCCGTTAAGAACCCACATATCCAGAAGATAAAAGTAGCAGAAATGAGGATGTTGCGGTGGATGTGTGGGCACACTAGGATAGATAAGATTAGGAATGATGATATCCGGGAGAAGGTGCATGTGGATCCCATTGATGACAAGATACGGGAAGCGAGGCTTAGATGGTTCGGACATGTTCAGAGGAGAAGCCCAGATGCTCCAGTACGGAGGTGTGAGTAGCTGGTTGTGGATGGCACGAGAAGAGAAAGAGGGCGGCCTAAGAAGTATTGAGGAGAGGTGATGAGGCAGTATATGGCGAGGCTCCAGATTTCCGAGGACATGACACTTGATAGGAAGATGTGGAGGTCGAGTATTAGGGTTGTAGGTTAGGAGGTAATTGAGCCATGCCTTACTTCGTACCATTGTGGGACTAGCCATGTAGGGTTTTTGTCTAAGATAACTATTGGCAATGTTGTGGCTTACTATTTCGCTTTTCAGTGCATGTCCTATTTACTAGCTATCGCTTTTGCTTTGCATCTTTCTTCTAGATTTCATGGTGTTCCTATTTTTCTTATGATTGTTGTGGTGATACTAATATTTACTAATATTGTCTCCCTTTGCTTTGCATCTTTCTTCTGAATTTCATGGTGTTCCTATTTATCCTATGATTGTTGTTGTGATACTAATATTGTCTCCTTTTTGTCAATTTGTCTTTTTATTTTTTTTGAGCCGAGGGTCTTTCGGAAATAGCCTCTCTACTCCTTCGGGGTAGGGGTAAGGTCTGCGTATACACTACCCTCCCAGACCCCATTAGTGGGATTTTACTGGGTTGTTGTTGTTGTTGTTTCAAGAGGGATATCAATATCGACAACAAAAGTGATGGTTATGGCAGATCAACTAAAGAATTAAAAGGAAACATATACCAAAACATCGTCTACAAAGAAGTGTTTGTTAAGATACCATTACGTTAAATACTTTCAAACTGTAATACATAATTATCTAACTAACATGACTAAATTTATCATTTGTGGAAGTTCAAATAATGTCCTATCATTATGAATTCACGTACTATACTGATGTAATAATATTTTTCGGCATTCAGATGATTGTTGTATTATTATACATAAATTTCTCTCAATAATTAAATTTCATTGTTCATTCATATAAATAAATGTTTAAATCATCACATGTCATTATTAATGTGCAATGCACGTTCATAGATACTAGTAGAAGTAACATTTATGTGACTATAAGACTTTTGAAATTTGTGATTTTAAACCAACAAAAGCTTTTCATTAAAAAAAATATATTATTTTTTTTAAATAGACTAATAAAAAATAATGTCAAACATGAACAAGGAAGTAATAATATTATATATATATATTATTAAAAGCAGAGGAAAAAATCCTCTCCTTAAGCCAAGTGGCAGCTTAGAAAAAGAACACATGACATAAGTATAACAACAACAACAACAACAACAACAACCCAGTAAAATTCCACTAATGGGGTCTGGGGAGGGTAGTGTGTACGCAGACTTTACCCCTACCCCGAAGGAGTAGAGAGGCTGTTTCCGAAAGACCCTCGGCTCAAAAAAAAAAAAGAAAAAAAAAGACAAAATGACAAAATGACAAAAAGACAAAAAGAAAACAATATTAGTATCACAACAACAATCATAAGATAAATAGGAACACCATGAAATCGAGAAGAAAGATGCAAAGCAAAGGGAGACAATATTAGTAAATATTAGTATCACCACAACAATCATAAGAAAAATAGGAACACCATGAAATCTAGAAGAAAGATGCAAAGCAAAAGCGATAGCTAGTAAATAGGACATGCATTGAAAAGCGAAATAGTAAGCCACAACATTGCCATTAGTTATCTTAGACAAAAACCCTACATGGCTAGTCCCACAATGGTACGAAGTAAGGCATGACTCAACTACCTCCTAACCTACAACTCTAATACTCGACCTCCACATCTTCCTATCAAGTGTCATGTCCTCGGAAATCTGGAACCTCGCCATATCCTGCCTGATCACCTCTCCCCAATACTTTTAAGGTCGCCCTCTACCTCTTCTCGTGCCATCCACAACCAGTTGCTCACACCTCCGTACTGGAGCATCTGGGCTTCTCCTCTGAATATGTCGGAACCATCTAAGCCTCGCTTCCCGTATCTTGTCATCAATGGGAGCCACATGCACCTTCTCCCGGATGTCATCATTCCTAATCTTATCTATCCTAGTGTGCCCGCACATCCACCGCAACATCCTCATTTTTGNCCCTAACCCGAGCCTTAGCCCCATCATACATGTCCTTAATCGCCATAATATAGGGAACCGACACACCTTTTACCTCCAGGCATCTCCAGAGAATTTTCTCAGGCCATAAGTAGTTAATAATAAAATAAAATATATTATAATAAAAAACAAAAATTAAAATCTATTTATATATTATTAAAAGGAGAGAAAAATGCCATCTCCTCAGGCCAAGTGGCAGCCTCGAAAAAAGCCACATGACATAAGCAATTAATAATTAGTTATTTAGTTAATAATTAGTTATTGGTTATTATTTTTGAATTTAAATATCAATAAAATAATAAGATAAAATATTTTACAATAAAAAATGAAATTAAAAAAACTATCCATTCAAATTGGAAAGTAGTATCAAGTTGGAGTTTTTAAATTATTTTAAAATAAAAAACTAAATTTACAAAAAATAAAACATTGTCAATTTATAATGTCTTTGTTATTTTAATAATTTTTGTCTTACATTAAAAAAGGTTTATTTATTCAGAAATATTATTGAGAATAATACAATAAAATAAAAAAAATATCTATCCTCTATTATATTATAAAAATAAAGTAGCATACAAAAATGTAAATAAAGTAATATGCTGATAAAAAATTCTATTAAGAATGCAATAATACTATATATTGAATAAAATTTAAAAAATATTATCTATTCAAATTGGAAATTAGTATCAAGTTGGAGTTTTTATATTATTTTAAAATAAAAAACTAAAATTTTAAAAATAAAAGCTGCCAATTTAAATTTTCTTTATTGTTTTAATAATTTTTGTTTTTCTTTTAAATTTTATTTATATATTGAGAAAATATTATTGAGAATAATAGAATAAAATATAAAAAAAATATGTATCTTCTGTTATATTATAAAAAGAAAGTAGCATACAAAATTTTAAATAAAGTAATATGCTAATAAAAGTTTCTATTAATAATGCAATAATACTAAATATTGGATAATATAATAAAAAAAAATACAGAAAAAGTTATTCGATGCCTATATAAGTCTCATTAATTTAATAGAGATTTTATTCATTAATGTCGGATAATATTATTGAGAACAATAGGATAAAATTTAAAATAAAAAATATTTCAAGAATAATAAAATATATATCTTCTATTATATTATAAAAAGAAAGTAGTAGACAAAAAATATTAAACAAAGTAATATTCTAATAAAAGTTTCTATTAACAATGCAATAATATTAAATATTTGATAATATAATAAAGAAAAATACACAATAAAAAGGTTATTCAACGACTATATAACTCTCTTGATTTAATAGAGATTTTATTCAATAAATTTTAATTAATATTATTGAGAACAATAGGATAAAATTTAAAATAAAAAAAATATTTCAAGAGTAATAAAATATATATCTTCTATTATATTACAAAAAGAAAGTGGTAGACAAAAATATTAAACAAAGTAATATGCTAATAAAATTTTTTATTAACAATACAATTATAATAGATATTGGATAATATAATTAAAAAAATACATAACAAAAAAGTTATTCGATGACTATAAGTCCCTTTAATTTAATAGAAATTTTATTCATTAAAATTCAGATAACATTATTGAAAACAACAGAATAAAATTAAAAAAAAATATTTCAAAATTAATAAAATATATATATCTTCTCTTATATTACAAGAAGAAAGCGAGTAGACAAAAATATTAAATAAAGTAATATTCTAATAAAAATTTCTATTAACAATGTAAAAATATTAAATATTGGATAATAGAATAAAGAAAAATATAGAACAAAAAAGTTATTCAACGACTATATAAGTCTTTTTAATTTAATAGCGATTTTATTATTGGTTATATCACATTGACAAATAAGATGACAATTAAAATTTATTAAATCAATATGATCTAATTTGTTCAAACAAGTACGATCACAATTTAATTTAAGTAATGTTTGTCCAAAAAGATAAATTAATCAATGAAGGACCGTGCTCCTTTCTTTTTTTTGTATAAAAATTGTGGATTCTAATTTCTAATCCACAAAAAACACGTTTGAGTCTACAAAAGTATCTAACCACTTTTTTTTTTTTTTTTTTCAAAAG